GACTCAGTACCTTGGTCTGGTGGTCTGGTGTCCTCTGCGTCTTTGTAGTGTGGAACCAGGTGGCTGCCTGTCTGCAGTGGGGTGATTCGGTGTCTTCAGCGCGACTTGGGACCTCAGTAGGGCGTGCACAGACCTGCCTGTCTGCAGTGGGCTGATTCGTTGTATTCCAGGTGACTGGGGACCTTGGTAGGGCGTGGGCAGACCTTGCCTGTCTGCAGCGGGGTGATTTGGCATCTTCCGCGCGACCCAAATAAACATATTCTTATGGTAAAAAAAATAAAGGTAAGAGTTAATGTTTCTTAAAACTTAAAAAACCTCTGGACATGGAAGGAAAGGGCTCTGTGTGGAGAAAATTGTCTAAAAGCAGTAAAAGAGAGTCCCAGGCTTCCTGGGAGGCTTTAGCTGTCCCTGCCCCTCTGTCCTCCCCCAGAAAGATGGAGTCCCTGTTGTGGTCACCACTGTGGTGGGGCCGGTGGGGGCCAAAGGTGAGGACTTGGATGTCGCTGAGTGCTTGTCAGGGCTTCAGAGGCACAGCCACGGTGAGGAGGCAGCTCGAAGTCTTCCTGGAAAATCGAAACTGGGGAACAACACTGTTGGGATCTTATTTTCCTTAAGCCCATGTCACCTGAAGCAATGAAAATGACCACTGCTGTCAGTGTCAACTTCTGGGATGATGGCAGTGGTGGGATTTTCTGACTGTCCTGAATAATGATCCCATTTCCCAGTTCCCCATGGAGTAGGGCTGGAAATGCTGGCTCCATGGTTCCTCGTTTCCTAGTGACCCTCCATCACCCTCCACAGGGAGACAGAGCCAAGAGCGGAGTTCTTTCCTGCTCACTCAACACAGCTGTGAGTTCTACTCACTGATGTGCAAGAACAGAAAGAAAACCATGCCTAAATGATGAATTATTGTCTTTAATGTTATGAGCTATAAAGGGAGGGGAACAAATCATTTAAAATTCTGTTGCTATTTTGGTGTATTTTCTAATAGATAAACCCTTCATGACCTGAATACAGAAATGGGAAGGTTTCCTACCCTTGCAAAGATACATTGTTCTGATAACAAATCATAATACCTGAACTTTAACTCCCAATAAACATGATGCATGGTGCGTGTCTGACCTAACTGTGACTTTGAAAGTTTAAAATATGGTGTGTTTGATGGGCACAAAATCCCACAAAACTCACTTTTGGCCATAAAAGTTGGTTTTAAGAGGTCAAGCGCAATGAAGGTTCAGAGCTTGGATCATTTCAGGAGTTTGCTTTGTTTGAGAATGTGCTCCTTGTTCTGTCTTCATGTTTCCATTTGATTTCCTTTTGCCCAGAGGGAGAAGATGACGAGGATGAAGAGGATGAAGAAGATGAGGATGAAGAGGAGGAAGAGGAGGAGGAAGAAGAGGAAGATAAAGATGCAGACTCCCTAGATGAGAGCTTCGATGGTGACAGTGACCTGCCAGGCTTTACTCTCGCTGGTGACACATCGCAGGAGCCTGGCTTGGAGCAGGGAAATAGGGACCCATTGGCGGGAGCCACCTACCAGGTGCCAGATGCCATCGAGTGGGAGCAACAGAATCAAGGCCTGGGTGAGAGGCTGCCTACTTCTCTTTCTTCCCTCCCTCCTCCTTTTATTTTCCTAAGGTGACCATTTTCACTGAGCAGAATGATTTTTTTCCTATGGTTATGAGTGGTTCACTTGGGAAAAATTGTGTTCTTAAACAGTGGACTCCAGTCTCCTGCTGCTCCTTATGAGTATTGTCACCTGGGTTTGGAAGGAATTTCATTTTTCCTTGCTAGCAATGAAATAGCTTAGGAGGACTTGCAAGTGTGTGTAATCAGTATGTTGCCCCAGCAGCACAGATGGACTGGAATAATAAAACAAATGGATGTTGTCACCCTCTTCCCTGTCAAATTCATTCTCGGGGAAGAAGCTTCCCTGGGGCTGGTGAGCATTTAGGGAGCCTAATAACTCTTCTGTTCACCGTCAGACACAGTCTCATCTCAGCAGTCAGCACACAGACAGCCTCTTCTTGCTTCTCTTGTGCGTGGTTCATGTTTGCCATGAGACACCTTGATCAGGTGTCTCCACGTGGCACTCCTGCCGTGCCCCAGGGAAGGTCCCCAACCTGTCACTTTTCTCTCTTGTCAGGGGAGACAAAGTCAGCTCTGAGTGAGAGGAACCCTTTCCTGACTTGAGGTAGAAGTATCTTCTTCTCTAGAGAAATCACCTTTATAAAATTCTCCAGCAGCTGGGTCTGTTTATACCTTCAGTGTGGCAGATAGTAAGTCAAAGAGTCATATTACCAGTTTTGGGAATATTTTATTGTAAATTTGAATGTTGATCTGGGAATTTGCTTTGAATGTAATTATGGGATTGTTACCCTATGGGTTGGCATAAAATTTGTAGCTGAAGTGTAGCTGGGATTTTTCTGTGGAATATGCATATAGGAAAGAGAGAGGATGATAAAGGATGGTCATTCAGTGGGCAGCCAGGCATTATTGTGCCTCTAATATTTACCAAATTACAAATGCAGCATGTTTTCCGCAATAATTACTTTAAAAGGTATCAAATAAATGAAAAGCTTATAAACACATAAAATATTATACTATCAAAATATTATAAAATAAACACAAAATATGAGCTCTGGCCTTGAACAAGTGAACAAATATTTAGTAAGCAAAACTCCTATATGTACAGGTTGAAATGAATGAAATAAAATGCAAAATGGGAATATAATTTACTACAGAGCAAGTTAGAAACAAAGACGAAAGTCTGTATGTAAAAGTGACTATAGGTGGGGACTTTATACTGTGGAAGTATCGTGTAAGTTAGGTAGTCTTTTTACTATGGATAGGATGAGTATTTTTAAAAATTAATTTTATTGGTACATTTTAGGTGTACAATATAATGACAGTCATCATTGGAAATTTGCACCTTTATATAATCTCTCTTGGTTCTTATTTTCCCCCCTTCCCCTGCCCTCCCTTCAACCCCTCCATCCCTCCCTATTGACAAAGACTTTGTTTCCATTTTTGCATTTTCTCATATTAATTCCATTCCCTTCTTCAGTTTTCAGTTTCTCATACTAGAGCAACTATTTGGTATTTACACATGTGTATAGGATGAGTATTTGAGACTGCAGCACTTTGCTGGAGAGATGAGTGGAAGAGAGAGAGAGAGAGAGAGAGAGAGGGAGAGAGAGAGAGAGGGAGAGAGAGAGAGAGAGGAAATGGCCTTTCTATAGAAATAAGGAGTTCACATGACATCTACCCCTGAGTTGTGGTCAAAGCAACCAACTTTCCTCACTTACGAAGTTGGCTTGTCACCGACGAATATTTATAAGTAATTGGACAGACTATGGAGCTTAGAAAAATATGGAGAGTCATTGGTTTAAAGCTGCAATGATCATTTTTTTGTGTGGCCTTATCATGACTCCCAACACAATTTTGCTGCTGCATAGTAGTTGGACTTTTAAGGAATCGACTTTCTTGAGGCATAGCATATACAAACTGCACCCACTGAGGTGCACAGTTCATTGCATTTTGACCACTGTCACCCTCGAACCTCTGCCTGTCCCAGGGCAGAAAGTTTCTTCCCGTCTCTCATCCCACCCTGGGGATTGCCTGCCCTTTGCAGTACCTCCCTTGGCTCCGGCTCCAGCACTGTGCTACTTTTGTCACTACAGATGATTCTACAGCATCCAGAATTCTGTATAGAGAAATCATATGGTACACGGGACGAGATCAAAGCATATGGTGAATGTTAAATTAAAAACATTGTTACAGTAAAGAACACTAATGCCATTAATCCCTCTCACAATATTACCCCTCGCTTCAAACACCCTTACCCTATCATTCTTGCTACTTTTTGAAGTGGCTCTGGAAGTCCTTTCTCATGAGTGCCATTAGTTGCATTGTCCTGGCTGCCATGATGTCCTGAATTGATTCAAAATGTTTACCTTTCATAGTTATTTTGACTTTGGGGAAGAGCCAGAAATTTCACAGTGCTAGAGCCAGTAAATAAGGTGGTTGAGGACACACTGTCATGTTTTTATTTGACAGAAATTGCTGTAAATGGTGTAAAATTTGACAGAAATTGCTGTAAATGGTTGATTAATGAGAGGGATAACAAAATATGGTGAATGTTTTTATTAAAAACATTTATTACAGTAAAAGACACATTGGCATTAATCTCCCTCAAAATACTCCAGATATTTCCTCCTCACTTTGAACATATCCCTCTGTTCTTGGCAATGTGTAATAAGGTTTTTAATGTAAACATTCTTCTTCCACTGAACACAATGATTTCAAGATTCAACTGTATCAATCAGTAATTTGTCCTTTGTCATAGCTGGGTAGTATTCAGTTGTGGGAACTACCACATTTTATCTGGTAAACATTTGAGTTGTTCCCAGTTTTTAGCTAATACTTTCAAGGTGTGTCAGGCACAAAGCTCAGGACAAACAGCTCTATTGTTCTCCTGTCCTGCTTCCTGATTCCAACCCCCACGCATAGCTAGTTTTGTAAATTAATGATACCAACTTAGTGATTTTTATGCTTTTATTTATTTTATTTTATTAGCACATGTTTGTAATTCATGCAGTTTACAGTCCTCTTGGGAAGTGGTTATATGTACATATTACAGCTTTTTAAAAAAAAATCCCCTTGTTATGCTTTTAAAAGGGATTTCTGCAGGTCCTGAGGGTTTTTTTTTTGTACTGGGGATCAAACTCAGGACCTTGTACTTGTGAGGCAGGCATGGTGCCATTGAGCTAAATCCCTGGGCCAGGTCCTGATTTTTTTCTTATTACAATTTACTATTTCCCAAGGTGTCTCTTGTTTTTTTCCTTAACTGACTCAATAAAGTTATTTTTTCAGCCTGTTTAAGCACTGAATGTTTTGTAGAAAGCCAAAATAAGGAACATGTATTTCCAGTTGGTATTTTTCCTACTGGGAAAAATTGTGTTTGACCTATCTGAGTCTAGAAGTTTATTAGCCCACCAACTTTTTCTTGGAGGGAAAAGGGATATCCTCTCCTAACTCAAAACCAGCAACAACTTCTGGGTTGGAATTAATCAATCCAGTTTCCTAGGTCAGGTCCCTATTTGGGATGGGTTTGTGGTGGGAGGAACAATGGCTCTCTGAAGATGTCCACATTCTGATCTCTGGAGGCTGTGAGCCTGTTATTCTGGATTGTCTAGATGCCCAGCATAATCACAAAGGTTCTTATAAGAGGGAGGGGTGGGAGTCAGAGTCAGAGAGGGAGAGGCGCTGAGGGGAGCGAAGGCTGGCCTGGTGTGGCCTTGAGCCAGGCCGGCTGTGAGCCTGGAGAAGCCGGGAAGGCTGGAAATGTACTCTCCAGGCTTTAGGAAGGAGCGCAGCCCTGCCAGTGCCGAGGTTAGCCCATTTCAGACTTCTAACTTCCAGGGCTGAGCGGTAATACATTTGTGACGTTTTAAGCACTAAGTTTACGTCAGTGTCTTACCGCAGCAATAGGAAACTAGTACAGATTACCGTAAGTGTTCAATGAGCTACATTGTTTTGAAAGGGAGTTGCATGGCAGCTTTGGGCAGAATGTGAACATTTTAACATTAAGTCTGCTTTAAGTCTACTTTTCCTAATGAATCTATAAAAATTAAAAAATACTGAGGCCCTTTAAAAATAGTCCTATTTATTATAATAATACTTTATCTGCTTCATTCTTTTTTTCCCCCTCACTACTGGGGGTTGAACCCAAGGCTTTTGCACACAGCTACATCCCCACTCCTTTAACATTTTTTTTGTGACAGGGACTCACAAAGTCACTAAATTGCCTGACCTGGGCTCAAACTCGCCACCTACCTCCCGCAGTCTCCTAGTGCAGGCATGCACCTCCACACCTGGTTTTCATTCCTATCATTAAATGCATTATTTTATTTGTAGATCACCCCATACATTTTTACAGTATGAATGATATTCCAGAGCAAATGCTAAAACCCATATATCTATATATATACATATATATGTATATATGTGTATATATATATATTTTCTTTCTTTTTTCTTTTTTTTTTTCCCCCCATTAAGTTTATTGGTACATTTTAGGTATAAAATACAGTTACATTCATCATTGGGATCTTGTACCATTACA